ACGTGTGCTCTTCCGATCTCCCCAAAACCCCAAAACCCCTCAGATAAATCTATACTTGCTAATTTATGAAATCATTTTTATTTCTACATATTTACAATCTCGATGGCCATTTCCTTTATTGATTACTCGGCTGAGCGATATTTAATATTAAAAACCCTTGAAAATTCTGACCCGTCTATATGAATAGGTTAGTCCACGAATGGCATTAAGTGGCTGATTTCAGGATTGATTATCCTTCCAAAACTCAAAGTAAAGTTTCCTAGAATTCTTGTCTTAATTTTCTTTCCATGAACTTTCCTATCACTTTTAAGAACCTCAATAATCTCTGAGAACCATTTGCTTTCACTAGATACTAGAAATCTGCCACTCATTTATTTTAAAGGATCATATTTTATCAAAGATAAATGAGCTTAAACGACATCTCTTACATCCACTATAGGCAATTACACTTCTGGAAACCCATACTAAGAATTATTTAAAATTGATGCAATCGCCTAGCAGCTAGAATTTTCATCTATAATTGATTTATAAAGGGGTGGTCCAGTCATGAAATAAGGAAGTAGAGAGATCAATTATGTTTGATTTGAATTAGAGGGATCTTACTTCCTAATGGCATTCCAACATATTTTCTCAGAAAGTATTTTAGCTCTTTCATTAGGTTTAACAATTGTTTTTGGCTCAACCCAAACGTTTGGATCATTGTAAATAAAACCTTTGTCTTTTACTGGATGCTATCCAATCACAGAGCTAGCAGCTCCAATAAAAACAAACTTCTTTACCTTATTTCTTATTGCTGATTCAATCAGATTCTAAGTTGATTCTAAGTACATCTTTATCTATTCTTCCTACTAGCCTTTGCTTGATGTTTATATTAATGGTGCAGCTGTGTGAACAACCATATCAATTTTCTCCAGCACATTATTTCTTATAAAACAATCCCTACTCTTAAACATATCTGCATCTATTAACTCAACTTAATTAGGCTGAAAAACCTATCTGAACTCTGATATTTTTTAAGTATTCTATATTGATTTAGTTGTACCCATAATGAAAGTGTTAGGGATTTAGGTAGAAATAGCTTTAGCTAGATGGGAACCTAAATATCCTGTCACTCCAGTAATGAATATTCTTTATTACGCCATTGTATGGATTAAAAATAATTATGCTTTTTACAAATTTGATAAATGTTGATTAATAATTGACTCGATTTTATAAATAATTGAAAGAGTTTTGAATTATTTGTTAGTGTCTTGAAATTGAAAAAGAAGGTGTAGTTTGAAGAATATTACTATAATTAACTTATGTATATGTTCATTCATTATTAAACTACTAGTATTTATTGATGCTCTCTCATTTTGAGGTTACGTGCTTGGATAGCCAGTCGAGTCCTTCATAGAGACCGTCTCCAGTAACGGCGCAAGTTGATTGAATGTACCATGTTCTTCCTCTGATGGTGTGTAGACCAAGCTTGTCAGTGATTTCTGGGCAAGTCATAGCGCCTGGAAGATCTTGCTTGTTGGCGAAGACCAAGAGAACTGCTTCCTTGAGTTCCTCCTCAGCAATCATCTTGTGGAGTTCTTCTCTAGCATCATCTACTCTGTCTCTGTCGTTAGAGTCTACGACGAAGATAAGTCCTTGAGTGTTCTGGTAATAGTGTCTCCAGAGGAGTCTGATCTTGTCTTGACCGCCTACGTCCCACACGGTGAATGAAATGTTCTTGTAGTCGACAGTCTCGACGTTGAACCCGATAGTTGGGATAGTAGTAACAACCTCTCCGAGCTTGAGTTTGTAGAGAATGGTGGTCTTACCAGCGGCATCGAGACCGACCATAAGGATTCTCATTTCTTTCTTTCCGATAAGTCTTTGCCAGACCTTAGAAAACATTCCTCCCATTTTGTTTCTTGTTTGTTGTTTGAAATTAAATTATTAACTGGAATGTAATTTATTAAATTTTATACCCTAACTTAAGACCCCCCTCTAATTAAATTTTAGTCTATTTGACTATAGTTAAGACCCCCATCCCCAATCTGACATCATTTGCTGCAATCAGATGTTGTCCTTCTAAAATGATTATATTTACTCAATTCATACTATGACATTCTGACATGATTGGTCACCACGGGGTTTTGGGGTTTTGGGGTTTTGGGGTTTTGGGGTTTTGGGG